CTGGATGGCAGGTCCCCGCTTGTTAAGCTGCCACCCCGCCCGCAGTGGCCTCCCCTTCCTCCCGTTCAGGCTTCACCCGGGCAGCTCTGAGGCTGGGAAGGAACAACATTCATTTAGGTGACAAACTTGAAGACATATAAACAAAGGAACTAAATTATTGAATGTATCATTGCAGTGGAAGTTCATTGTGGAAGAAATCCAGAAACGGAATTCAAACTAGTGTACAGGACTCTGTCTCCATGAACTAATCTTCTTGACTACCTTTTCTTTTTTAAATTTTTTTTTTTAACATCAGTTTCCAACATGGTTAAAATGCGGTAAGGGTTATTGATTAAGGAAATCCCACTTACTAAGGAAAACTCTGAAAGAGGGTTAAGAAAAGCAGAGAGGAAAAACAGAGCATGGGGTGGACTCCCCCATTAATAAATGTTAATGAGAATCTGTCCCGTGAGCTTTGAAAAAGCATTCAAAGCCAGGGACGGATACAGCCCAAGTTCCTTGAATTCGCATTTGTTGTAAACAGCAAGAATTCAGGTGGGTTCCTTATGTCTGTGTGATGCTGACACTTGAGAATGGACTGCAGAAGCTTGTCATAACAATAACATAATCCAGAAATATATCAAAACACCTACAATTATCAACTCCCATTATATTATTATACATAATAATGACCACAGGTGATTTTCTTAGTAGAACAATTTATTAGTGGATATGCAATAAAATACCTCCCCAAATACCTTTCCAGAAATGACAAGGCAGAAAGTTTTTTTGTTTTGTTTTGGTTTTTTTTGGTTCTTGGGGAGTTTTTTTTTAATGTAAACATGAAATATTTGAAGAAATAAAAAAAGGTAACAAATGAACCTGTAAAATATTTTTTAAAATCTGATTTCAAATAAGTACATGAGGCTTAGAAATACAAATGTGTTATCTAATGAATGATTTAAGTATCCAAATAGAAATCTAGAAATCTAAAAGCATTTCCATAACTTCAACTATAAAAACACAAATTTACTAAGTACTTAAAATCTAGGAAAAAATGACTTGAAAAAATGCAATAAGAATTATTATGAAAGGTGAGTACTAACAGACTGACCTTGAAGAGAGAGAGGGACAGTGGGGACAGGTCATCAGCACAAAGCTCCTCTCCATGTGGACATAATTACACAGGTGTGTAGAAGGTACATTAGCACAAGCATGATCTCTAAGTAGTTAAATATCCTTCAGGACAAGTTAATTTTCAACATAAGCACAAATCAGTGAGCACATCCCGCTGAGAGACTATGGGAAGATTTTAAAATATATGTTAGGGCCAGAAGGTTCCTAGAGTAACTCTGAGTACACAGTGATCAGCAAGTAATAAATAAGATGCATAAATACAGACTTTAAGCTAAGCAGTTAGATGTATAAATTATGAATGACTGGAATTCATAATTGTATTAAATGAGGAACACAGCCTCTAAACTGTTTGGTATAATTCACGCTAGTTTGGAATCAAGCATAATCTATATGAGTTTTCAAACCAAACAACGTTATAATACAGTCAGATGCTTATACAACCACATACAGAAGTAACAAGAGTTAACTATATTTTGGGTATCCTTCACATTCATTTAAATTTTTGACTACCTTATAGATGTCCATTCGCTAGCAAGATTTCACATATTTTACAAGTGTAAAGCACATTATTATAGTAAAAACATTAATGAGCAATAAAAATGTTTATCATAGATTTCCTATAAACTTTGGGATTAACTTTTAAAGTTCAGCAGAATAGTAGGTGCTTAACAGGAACACTGAAGGGACCCATACAACAATTTAAAAGAATTAATGTCTGGGAATAATTTCCTTGAGTTTAGAAAGTAGTAAATCTTGGTTTACTACCATCTGAAATCTTGGTTATCATCATCTTCAATTCAGACTTTATTAAAGTAACAGGAAACACAAACCTTATGTGACAAACAAAGAAGAGACCATTGTCTTTACAGTGCGGTGACTAATTTATTATCTGGGAAAAGGAACAGGTAGAAACGGAGCTGGGTATAATAACTGAGGCGTTTCTGGAGGCAGCAGGTGCGTTTAAACCTTATAAACCGGTACTGACAGAAGGCACTTGAAAGGCTTTTTGGGATGCTTTGCAACTAACGTTTTCCATGCCAACGGCAAACTCTGTAAACAACTGTGCCAAGATGGCTCTGATACCATGAAGCTCCCTATATCTTTGAAAAGGTCATATTTAATATATAAAAATGCAGTAAATTAAGATGTTAATATATTAAACAATTTACAAAACATTTAAAATTATAGATATCTTACAAAACAGCTCTGTGATAATAAAAATTATTTTTGCAAACAATAAACACGAGTTAAACATAGTACAAAAATGTCTCTTAATTAGCTTGTTAGCTGGGAGAAGGGCAGGGAAGAAAGTCTAGACCTGAAATCTAATAGCTTCATAACATAAAATATTCCTAATCAAACTTTACATACATATATTTTTAACACTGAAATATAAAAATTGAAATTTTCAATAATTCCTTATTTTAAGGCCATTGAAACAAGTTTCACATTGTTGAAGGTTTGTGACGTGTTATTTAGAGTCCAAGGATGTTTGGGTTAACTCATCACATCCATTCTGCTTATGGCTTTTTCACTGAACAATACATTCTGTTGTGTTTTCTCCTTGAATTTACTAATAAAAAGCCAGCACTCAGTGCCACATGTCACAACGTCTAGGATTCACTCATGGACGGGGAGGATGCTGATCTGCTGCAGATGTGGTCCGACTCCGAGGGTCTTGGGCTACAGTTGCTATGACAGTGTTGTTGCTAGGATAATTCCAAGGACCACAAGCAAAATAATCACACAAATAATAACGAGCATCATTTTCTGCAAGATAAAGAAAAACACTAATTAATCTGCAAGGTGTCAAAGGGAAGAAGTCATTAGTGTCGGTTCCTAACACAATTCTCCTGGGGTATGAGACAGTTTAAAATACAAGTCCACTAGCAAGAACTCCAGGGGTCACAGGAAAGGAGGCGGTGGGGAAGGAACGTTCCGAAGGAAAAACACTAAGTTACAGACACGTGTACTTTAAACGAAATGTTATTAAGACAACAGTTCTATGCCCCTAGAGGGAAAAGGCAAGTCTGGTTAGCACCATGTGGCTTCTTCAAGGACACTATCTATGGATCACAATAAAATTCCAAACTGCTATTTCTTGGATGCACCATGTATCTTTTTAAAACTTTAAATGCATCTGTCTCATTTGCTCTTATCTATACATTGCTTTACACTGATGTATGATGTACGTGTGTCAGAAATCACCAAGCCATCAACTCAGTCTTCCATCACACCGAAGGCCCAGAGCAGGGCGCCAGAGCATTTCACCGTTTTAATTAACAAGCATCCTCGCACCACTGGAAGCTAAACCATCTTTGGCTTAAGCCACCTAGTGTTCCCAAGGAAGCTCGTCTGTGGGAGGAGGGAGTCACACAGTGAAAGGCACACCTCATGGTCGGACCTCCAGTCTCTTGGTAAAAGGCAGAGACATGTCATTTTAAATTAGTTACCAAAATAAGCCGCACTTCTGTCTAGGACACCAGAGCTGCGGAAACGGGACAGCTCTGAACTAACGTGACATGGCAAGAGCTCGATTAACTGTGGTTTAGGAAGACGGCATGGCCAGACCCCTCAGCAAACTCTCAAGTCACTTACTCGGACCCAGGGTGTCCTCTCCCTCAAGTTCCACGTTACCTGTCAGGGTTACGTGTGTCTGAACCTTCCCAGTGGCCTCTTCACATGCTTCCAGCGCCTTCCTAGCACAGCTTTCCCGCTGGTCTGGTCTACCTCCTTCCCGCCCACCCCTGCCCTGCAGCTGCTCCGAGAAAGCTACCTGGACACGTGCTCCGACACTCATTGCCTTATGGAGTGTGCCCTCCCCCCCACATCTGGCTTCCGGTGCACCCTAAATGCCATACATTTAACAACCATCTTGTCCAAACTCCTGCTAATGGCTCTGGCCCCCTGCGGGGCTGCCCTCCATGGACAGAGCACCCCGGGACTCCTGTCTCCATTCAGCTCCCGGCTCTCCCACCTACAAGTCATGGGCGAGGTGCTCCCTTGCCCTGACTGCCCACAGAAAGTCAGGGTTCCAGCCATGCTGCGGGGTCATGGGGTCGCCTCCACAAAGAGCCTGCGTGCACCCGGCCCATAGGAAGGCTTTGCTGAACTATTTGCTGGAAGAATAACTTTTCAAAAGTAAAATTAAAGACACCAATCCCTGCATTTGTATGAAAATAATTGTCAGTGTGCCTCCTGTGTGTTTTTTCATGCGTGAGGACTGTTTTGTCCATGCGTATTTAAGCGGCCAGCCAGGCCTGGGGCCCAGAGCGAGCCCACTGCTACCTCCTCGACAGGCCCCTGAGAGGAGCCTGCTCTCACTCACCAGCATTAATGATCAACGGCCCCTGTGAAAAAGCAGCTCATCTCACTGAGTCCAAGCTAAAGGTTGATTTTATCTTTAGTGTAACCACATTCAACTAAAATTATGGCCGCTAGGAAAAGTTAAGAAAATTCACATTTTAGAATTATGAAAATGTCTTTAAAATACCATTCTGTTAGTAAAGAAAACTCACATACACTATTTTTTCAGCAGAGCTAATAGGAAAGCACTAGGAAAGAGACGTAAACTTCCTGCCAATACAAGTAGAGTGCTGAGAGTTCCTTCAAAAGAATGGATCGTTAACAAACTCAACATCCCAGGCATATATATCACTGCAACAATTTCAAGTGCAACTTTGTGGCTTTAGGAATGTTAGAACATTGCCTGGGAAAGCTCATTGATTAACGGTGCATGCTAAGTGTCACAGGTGCTCAGATTAAGAAGCAACTCAAGGACTGGAAAGCAGCAGTGAACCTTGACCACACAAGTGATTCCTTTCTACTAGATCATTTTTTCTCCATAAAGTGCCAAGTGTCTGTCAAGGTGTAGTCACCTCCATAATAAGAGTGAATTCTGTGATAAATTCACTACCTGTCACAATCTAGACACCCTGGGACATTTCACAGTTTTAATCACAAAGATTATGCCAAACAAACATTTTAGGAGAAATAACGTATCTCCAAATTTATCAGAATATATCAGAGAACATTCTAACTTAAGGGTTAATGTAAGAAGGATGACTCCAAATGCATAAGAAACCCAGAGGAAAAACACAAGATCTACTGAAGTTTGGAGAACGGTGATACTTGTTATAGTATACAAAAGTAAAAGTACTTTAAATAAATAATTGAATACCTTTTATATTCAGAATTGTTTAAAATTAACAGGCATGCCAACTCAATAAAGTTTTCATTTTAATAAGGGAATATTTTTAAACAATGAAGTCAGGAAAAATTTTAATTTCATTGAGTGTTTTTCATAGCTTTAGTTCCATTCCCGCTATTTCCACTATGTAAAATGATGAGTAAATATATTTCACAGAGCAACTTTCAGTTGTTGCAATTATTCTAAAAGTTAAAATTGAAGAGATAAATTACAATGTTAGATGTTAGTTTTTAACTGAGAAGTACTCTTCACTGCTGTGGTTAGTACCCTGGATGAAGGGCCCCCAGCAGGAGAGAAGCAGTCTTCCAAGACGGAGAAGCGGAGACTGCAGCGGCCAGCTTGCTGCTGTGTGCCCTACTCACATGCCACTAGTGGGTGAGCCTACAAGCTTTTCAGCTGCACAGGAAGAAGTCTTTGGGTTAGAAAAGAAGGACCACCCAGCCTGGGTGTTCTCAGCACGTATCCGGCTGGAGACCAGAGCCGGCGAGCCGGGCAACGCACCACTCCCAGCAGGCCTTGCTGCTGTCAGGCATATTAGAACTGGGCGGCTCTACTATTAGCTAATTGAGAGGTTAATAAGTAGATCAGTTGATTAGTTACTTACTGCCGCGCCGGCTGACAGGCACATACACTGTTATCTGCGTCATCATTTGCCAACTGATAAACCAATAATTAGAGCAATTACAGCAACCAGAAACACCGACACAGCAACAATGATCCACTTTTTCTGTCAAAGAAAAGCAAGCGGGTCATATCATGGTTAATTTCATATCGCTACATTAGGAGACACCATTCACTGAAAATAAAAGGAACCTTCAGAATTCGTTTTAAAATCTAAGTTACAGGACATCTGACTAGTTCTGTGTGATAATTTTTAGTTCTCAAAAAGTGCTTTAGACTGTTACAGAACAGTCTAAGATATTCTTAGAATATCAGGTTTCATCAATGTGAGAGCTGCATGATCACAGTACTTTGATACATTTCTGATGGACTGAGATATACAACTTGTTTCATGTCTATAGGGCTATGTAGCCAGCCCGGTCAAGTAAGAAATTCGGTATCTATTAATAACGCCTCTACACTCCTTTGTTTTTCTCTTGTTTGTTTGTTGTTGGCAGTAAAATCCTTCACTCCTCCTGCCATAGCCTATAAAATAAGTCACCCCAGTAATGCCACCGGGTCTCTCAGGAGCCCCACACAGCTGCCCTGGGAATAAACAGGACAGCAGGTGAGGGGACAGCCAACATATGAACAAACACAGTAGCAAAGCACCTGAGAAGCAGAGTGACACACTGAGCAGCGTGGTCTGAGTGCCAGGCGTTTCCTAGGAAAGGAAGTGATGGGTTTTGAAACAGGCATCGCATTTCTGACCGGCTGACAGCCTAGGTGACGTGCAGACCCCCGCATCTTCCACAGCGAGGCTCAGTCAGCAGGTTAAGAAGGAAGCCGCATCCTCTGCCATCCTTTATCTTTCCAGGAAACCCAGTGAACTCTTCACTGACATTTTCCCTGGACTGACATGCTATGTCGGTCATATTTCTCAGGTGAAGGCCACTGTGTGCCTGGAACTGGGCTAAGCAAGCACTTTCCCTGTAAGCCTCGTCTCATTACCAAGTGGTAACAGCGATGTGAGAAACCATGCCTTTCATTTCACGGATGCTTCACACACCGGATGCACCCATGGCCAAGCAGACTGAGGTGCCCTGCAGGCCGCCAGTGGAACACAGAATGTCTGTGGACAGTCATCACAGATGAGTCTATACACAGAACTGACTCCTCGTTTTTCCCGAACATGTAGAGACTCTCTTCAAGGCCTCGAGGACGTGGCATTGGAACCCTCTGGTCCCCAGCGCGAGCACTCGGCCTCTAAGAAAGGCACTGCACATCCAGACTGCCATCTTCCGGGAGGCGGGAGGGTGATGCCCACAGAAAGCAGTGGTCTGGGCTTTGTGTCCAAGACAGAAGCCACAGAGAGCTGGGCAGGGACACACAAGCCACAGCTAGATGGTTCCCCAGGCTCCAGAGCAGAACGTGATTTTGTAATTGCACTGTTTTCGTGGAAGAGCTTTCACTCACATGTACGACACACTTAAGATTCAGATAAAGGTATTAAAACTCATTGACAAAGCTTAAGTGTGTGTATTACATAACACCTTAGGTCCACATAATTCTCTTCTTTCCTCTGAAACAAAGGATTAGCAAATAATCTAAATAGAGAATAAAGTGTTCATTGCGTAAAATGTGTATCAATGGATTTTAAGAGAATTTCCAATCCTATTAGTTTTATCTTCCTTCAAATAATGACCCAAGAAACAGAGAACTCTAGAATTTGAACCCACTTAACCTCAAAAAGGAAAATGGCCTGACCTTTGGTTGTAATTAGGCTTATAATTACTTAGGACACAGAAAGATTCTTGGTCAACTCACCTAACAAACTTCAAACTTCTTAGCAAAAATAATTATTTCAGTTTTAAAATGAAACATGAAGATATTTTTATCTCTTGGAATACCTTTTAAGTCGGCTGACATCAACAGAGTACAACTTGAAACCAAACAGAGAAAAACACACGTTATTTCGTGAAAGACAAACTCACCCTTCTCGCTTTGCTCTGATATTTAATAGCTTTCTTCGTTTCTTCCTTAGCATGTTCTACGTAGTCTGCAGCATTCGTGACGTTTTTTTCTATGTTATTGATCATTTCACCCTTAAAACAAAAAGTTTCAAACTCAGGAGACATTTTCAAATGACTGAATTGTGTATCTTAAGACAGCCACATAGCATCACTAAAGTTTTCGCATGAACATGTGTAAGTAAGTAATGGATACTGAGGTTTTCATATTTACAAAAAGAGACCATTACAAATGCTCCAATACAAAGTATCACAATTCAATTTATATTGTAAAAGAACGACAAGGGATGGGCAGTACTGATGAAGGCATATGGAGGAGACTGTGAGATGTGCTGCTACATGTGAGCTCTTTAAAGACGAGCACAGGGAAGGGAGGCAGCTCCATCAGTTAAACCCGTGCTTATATAAAACACACATACAACGCACAAGAATGGCATTTGTTCTAGTGCATACAAAATTGTTGCCATTTCTTCAGAATAGCAGGAAACTAAGAGTAGCTTATGTTTGACACTAAGTTGACTAAATTAATAAGCAAAAACTGTAAAGCGAGGTGACTATAGTGAAATGTCAGGGAGAAAGCACATTACCTGGGTCTGTGTCCCCCGGCAGACATAACCTGCAGCAGTGACAGTGAAGCATTGAAGAAGGATGCACAATTAACTCACTAGTAAGTTTCGACTATACACAGACGTGGGTTAAATCAGGCATCCTAAGGCAGTACTAACGGACTTCCAGGCAGGCACAGTGAAACACGGCTAAGAGCAGCAGTTTCTCTAATGGCGCTTAAGGCAATGCATTCAGCATAAAATGATTATCATTAAACTTTAAGGTACTGTAAAATCTTCAGTAATTACAAAAATAATGCAGTGTTCTTATTGTTTCATTGGTTTTCTTCGGAATACTTCCTGAAAAGCAGCAGCTGGTAGACCAGACTGCCAACTCTCCGTTTCTTGTATCAGGAATGGCATCAGGCCCCCCATCAAACCACCACGTGGCTGGTGGTGCCTCCTAACAAATGCATGGGGCCTGTTTTCCCCACATTCTTATGATGAAGTTCCTCAAGATAAACTGCTCTTCTAAAGGTCAGTGAGCCTGTGGAGAACGGATTCTGTACATGGTGTCCTGTCCTCTGTATACTATCCAGGCAATCACGGGAAATGAGCCGGTCGGACCTGAGCCTTCGGGGGACTGTTCCTGCCAACGCAGACCCTGACGCCAGACTCCGCAGTGTGAGGATGTGACAGACCTGCGATGCTCCCATGTGAAAGCCCATTTCACCAGGGTCAGTGGAGTTCTAACGGGCCAGCGACCGATGGAGGACCTTACTCAGCAACGCGAGAGTAAGCGGACACACCTACCAGGTACACACCAGCCTGGATTTTACACCATATTTTATCTAGTTTTTAAAAACTAACTTCTTCCGTCCTCTCCTGGGGGGCCCCTCCTACCCCCTTCACTCCCTGTCTGTATGACTGGACAAACGGAGAACACCAGGTAATAAGTACACGTTTTTACTTGTGTCATGGACTGTACCCCCTTTGGAGCCTATTCTTTTAAATATTTCTTCCAACTATTACTATAATATATGCCCTTTGTAGAAAACTTGAAAATATATATTTTAGATAAGAAAATTTAAATTTCTGTAGTCCCACTGTTATTACTCTGGTACATTTCTTTCCTTCTGTGAATACTGTTTTACATAGTCAAGTTCATGCCATATATATGTGTATACACACATGTGTGTTATATATATTTATATTTATACATATGTATATCTATGTACACATAAGGTTTTATATCTCCCTCTTACCTTAAATTAAAATTGCAGCACAACATTCGTATATTTCATTAGAAATCCTCCATGAACAAAAGGTTTATGCTGCCTATGGTTGCGTAACAGGCTGTCCTATGGACACACCATAATTTATTAATAATTCACTAAACCCATCCTTTACTGTTGAAAATTTAAGCTGTTTTCAGCATTTCAATCTTACGTTATAATAACATTACAACCGACTTTTGAACTAGGAGACTGGATCCAATACAATGGCTTCCCCAGGAATACTGGACTCAATTCCAGGATTTTACGTAGGACTGTTCTCTGGTTCAGAAACGTAAAGATGCCTGCGGTTACCTGAGTCTCAACAAACATAGCCATATCCATAAACATTTCATGCAGCTCTCGGATGCTGGTCTCCAGCTTCATGATGTCTTTGTGACGTGACTCAATTTCATTGAGAGCTTGTTTAGTAATCTGTGAATCTGATATGATCTTTGAAAAAAAAAAAGGGAGAAATACTGATGAACTTATGATTGCTCCAGGAGCTTAAGAAAAAATACATATGCACATATACGCAGCCACAAACCAGCTGTGCACTTACGTCCGAAGTGAAAATGGAAGGGTTCCCACTTTCCAGCATCGCTTCTAGCTCATCATCAGTCGTAGTCTTTCCAGCTGAAAGGTTAACAAAAGCTCCATTCAGAATGTCGATACAATGCTTTTGGCACATCAGTTTTCCTAGAAGTTTAACTGGCTTATGGAAAAAGGGGATAAGCTGCGTTCAGCATATATTCAATGGACGTAAATAAAGAAGGCCTAGTTGGAATCAGGTGCTTTAATACTTTCTATGTTTTGGTGTTAATATTCTTCCTTCAGTGTATTAATGTTCTCTATGAAACATGTTAACAGGTTTTTGGAAAAACCAAATTGATAATTACAATTTCACAATTTGTGCCACAAAAGACAAAATTAAATGAATAAACATCATAATAATTTAAATATTTAATGTTGCAGCAGCATTATTTATAATCGCCAAAAAGTGGAAACAACCCAGGGTCCATCACCTTGTGATAGACACAGCTGTGGCCCACCCACACAATCGAACAGGAGTCAGCCCCAGAAAGGGGCATGACACTGACAGAGCTGCAGCAAGGCGGAGCCTCCAACAGGCTGTCAGGCGAACGGGGGCATCACAAAAGATCATATATTGCATGATCCTGTCTCTATGAAATGCCCAAAGTGGGCAGATGTACAGAGAAATATAGGTTGGTGGTTATCCAGGGTTCCAGGCGGGGAAGTAGGGAGTGACTGATGATGGGTAAGGGGTTTCTTTCTGGAGTGATGAAAATGTTCTCACATTGATCGTGCTAACAGACTAAAAACCACTGAACTATGCACTGTAATCCACATGGTATGTTAGTTATATCCCTACAAAGTCGGGAGAAGGGCATTGGGGGAGTGGGGTCACGTTCACAGCTGTTCCCGTGCTCCCCAAGCCCACAGAGGCTGCCCCCCGGTTGGTCTGTGTCACAGCTGAGGGACCTGATCTTTGATAATGGGGAGTAAACACACTGCCCTCCGCCCAGAGGCAGATGCGAGCTCCGTTGGCAGGGGTGACTGCTCCACAGACAGCCTCGAAGACAGAAGCAAGAGGGCCTCTGTGTCTGCTCACCAGAATCGTGAGACACGGAGAACCATCTCCCGAGACGGGGCCATGAGGGCAGGGTACACAGGGACATACTTGGAGAAACACTGACTGACAGGTTCCTAGATCTGAGTAACACTCTAAAAGGAATGGTAGTCAGAAAGCAACGTAAAGTCCACTCCCCTAGAGCTTTCTGAAGGATGTAAGTAACCACCAGGTTTGGTTAATTCAATGAACAGGGCTATGAAAGGGCTTTAGGTTTTACAATATTAGCAAAAATAGAGATGGAATTACTTTTTTTTGAAGTTACGGTACTTTGATGTCAGACCTTGAGACAGAAAAACATTTTTAACAAAACCAGCATTTTCATTTACTCACTTATTTCTAGCTGACGCTGTATACGTCCTTTGCTTCGCTCCCGAAATAGAGTCTGTGCTTCATTATATTCTGTCATGACTTCCACAAATTTTCGAGATAGTACTGAATGCTGTTATGTAGAAAAGAATGAATGTATAACGCTCATTTCTTCTACTGAAAGTGATATATAAAAACATCACATTATGAAAATTCAAATTATTATGCTACTTCTTCGAATGGAAAATAAGAATAGCAGCAACTTACTCGGTAACAGAATCTGTGCTAAGAGCTGCGCCTCATTGCCTTACTTGACTTTACAATAACCCTACTTCCTGGCACTACCCTCCATTTTACAGGAGGGACAGCTATGATCAGAGAGGCCAGTCAGCCCATGGGTACAGCCGACCGGGTCAGGTTTGGTGACCATGCAGGCTGTCCCCAAAGCCTGCGCCTAATCGCCATTTGTCAAGTACAGTTAAGTAGTCTGAATTCCACGTGGCTGCACATGACACTAAAATGGTTCAAATAATTCTTTGCTTTTCAGAACAGAATTCTGTTGATGGGCTGAATAGATATTTTTCTTCATAATAGAGAGAGGTAATCTATAAGTACTATATACTTTTTATGCAAAAATCTTGTGAGGATTAATATGACAATAAAGATGAAATGCTTTTGCCGCTGAAAGAGGAAAGTCAAGAGGCCTATTCTTTGACAGTCTAGATGAGGCTGATAATCAAACCTGGGTTCTTCGTATCCGAACATCCACGGAAGTTCGGTGCCCACTCTCATCCTGATCAAAGCTTTGTTCAATAGCTAGAAACAAACAGGGGAGAATTACCTTTTACACCAAAAAGTGGACATTTTTTCAAACCAAACCTCAACATGCTTTCCCTGCCTATCTTTTCAACTTCTAATCAATATATGGATCTTGGTAATCATCATCCATTGTTGATAATATCACAAAATAAAAGCAGATGTTATATGTTAACATTTAAAGTAACAAAGAAACACCTGAATCTGATCAAGTTTGCAGAACTATCAATTTACAGGACATAGGACAATGGAACCTATTAAATGACATTATAGGGGTGAAATCAGCGAAATCCTGAAGTATGGCAAATTCTAATGGACAAACGTCCTGGTTTCTCCGCCAAAAGAAAAACATGCTGTGGGGACAAAGATGGAACCAGAATCCAATTTTTTTTTTAAGATTTTGTTGGGGAATTGGGGGAGGAGAACAGCATTGTGGAATTGGGGAAGGGGAACAGACAAGTTGCTGTCCTTTTATTCTTCAGTCTAGTTGTGGAGGATGTCACTTCACTGGCCAATGTTGGTATTATCATTGTGCTCTTCCTGGGTGAGGCAGTCGCTTGCCGGCCATTGGATGGCCGCTCAGAGCGGCTCATGCTGGCTGCCAGCCACTCACGGTAGCTCACAGCAGCCCAGTGCAGCCTATGCCATCGCCAGCGACTCACGGCAGCCCAGCTCCAGGTTGAGCTGTTGTTCACCATCTTAGCTGTAGAGGGCAGTGTCACTGGCCCTCATGTGGGATCCGAACCAGGGCCCTGCTGCTCAGAGCTGGCGCTCCCAAGCCAACTCTTAACTAAAGTGCCACTCGGCCGGCCCAGGAGAATCTGATCAACCAAGCACAGTGCATGGTCTTTATTTCGAAATCCTATGTGTTAGAAATACACACTGAAGTGTATACTGATGAAGTCATTGATGTCTGGGATTGGCTTCGAAATCATCGGAGTGGGTGGGAGCCGCTGGGAGGGGCAGAGCTGATGGGCACGAACCGGGGCCTGTGGCAGTAATGTCCCTGCTTCTAGAAAGCTCTGGAATTTCCCATACTATAAAGTTCTTTTTGACCTGCAGAGATTGTCCTGATTTGAATGCAGTTTTGCAAAAATTAAACACAGTGTGTCTTTCTACGATATCAAGAAAACAGCCTCTGTTTACGTCCCACAGGAAAGCTCTGAGCCTCTCAGAAGCCACTGCCGCTAAAGGGAATGGGGAGCCCCTAAGACCAGATGAACTGGACGCAGTGTCCAAAGCGACCTGCCAACTAAGAGGGCAGCTCAGGACCCTGGCAGCACATGTTAAAGGCTCCTCACCTCTCAGATCTGCAACTTAGCCAAGTGTCATAAAACTACACCAGTACAAGAGACTAACAACTTGTAAGCAAGTGCCTAATCTTCCCGACTGGGAATTAGTGCTTCGCTCCTCAGGTAAGGATGACCAGCCGTTGGTTTAAAGAGAGCCAGGGGTTTAAAAATTCTAGGGTAATTACCTTACACAAAGGCTTACCATCCCAAGTACATACAGATAATTTATTTTAAAATGCTCACAATTCTAACTTTTGAAAATATAAAAAAATAAAAAATTATAAAGAAAAAAATAACTACCCATAGTCCCACCATCAATGATTATACATAACCAAAACTTTAAACTTACACTTTAACTTGGCGCGAATTTTGTTAGCAATTTTCTTGATTTCTTTGTTCAGATCTTCAAGCTCTTCTTTTGTTTCTTTGAAATAAAAAAAAGGCATCTGAGTTGTAATATCCAACATTAATAATGTCCAATAAACTGAAATAGAACAGTGTTTGGTAAATGTTCAAGTCTGTTTCTTAAGAAAAACTATTGATTATGCCAATGGTTCGCAAAGGGTAGTTCCTGGACCAGCAGCCTCAACATGGGTGTGTGTGGGGGGGTGCCTGGGCCCCACTGGGACCTTCTCAACAGAAATTTTGCTGGGTGGGCCCCGCAGTCCAATGCAACGAGCCCTCCAGGTGACTCTGCTACACACCTAAATGGGAGACTAGCTGGTTTATACCGGTTAATCAATGAAACAGTTCATTGAACCCACCGCTCACACCCAGACCTGAAAAAAGGAAAGAGACACTTTAACCATATTCTGGAAAAACAAAAGTCCCCCGTATGTTTGATTTCCTGTCTGCTCTCCACTATAGTCTAAGCGGGCTCCCGGTGGCCTGCTGGTTGGAGGGAGAGCCGAGCACAGGAGTGTGAGAAGGAGAAACGGTGCAGGGACAGGCTGGGCGAGCGCCTGACTGCAGCCGAGGACGCGATGCAGCAGACTCGGGGCACAGTCGGGAGCCGTGGAGCAGCTGCGGGGCCAGGACGCCCAAGGACAGCCTGCTAGTGGGCCGGAGTCCCACTCTTCAGCTGGCATTCCGAGGAGAACTCACCTCTCTGGGTAAGAAAGCCCCTCTGCTGTCACACAATAGGCCGGGGGCCACTCCAGACAGAGATACTGGACTTCCTGCTCATGTGAGCACACACGGCGCAAGCGTTAGTGACATAAAGGGCATTCCCGCATTTGGCCCTGAAGGCGGTATTTCAGATCACTGAGAAAAGAATGGGGCCTGGAGAACCTCCCCTTCCAGTGGACTAGGTAATTCCGATCAGTCCTCTTGCTGAACAATCAGAAAAGCTGGACAAAATATTGTTTTTAAATCTGCTTAAAGGCATCATAACGCTAAGAAGACAGGAAGGAAGATCCAGGAGAAGGAAACGGACTGGTGAGCCGAGCGAGGCAGCTGAGGCGGTGGGAAGCCGAGGACTGCTGACCCCGAGGGCCATGCCCTCGCAGGCCGAGGCTGTGCTCTGATCCGCTCACTCTCAGAAACCGGATCGGGATGGCCAACGCCCCAGCCAGCCATCAGAATGCTTAAACATCACCCCTTAGGAAAGAAAATACTATCCTGGGACTCAAACTATTACCACCAGTTTTCATATACAAAGCCCAGTACTCAGTCAAAAATAACCAGGCAAACAAAGAGAAAACAAACCATGAATAAAACCTAAGAAACACAACAGACGACATAACCAGATCCACAGGGGCACCAGTTAACAGAGTGATCTGACACAGACTTTAAAATAATTACATTCAAAGGGGTAAAGTACAAGGTTAAGAATTTTGTTGGAAAACAGGACAGTATAAAAAGGAACCAAATGAAATTCTAGGACTGGAAAATATTTTAACTAAAAATAACTCCATGGGTGAAGAGAGATTCCCTGACCTAAAAGACATTAGCTGAGGAGAGGTCCACAGATAAATCAGAAAGGAGATTTCAAAACAAAACATAACGAGATAGAATGATGGGAACAGAGGGCAAGAGACAAAAAGGATACAGTGAAAAGGTCTAAAATATAATTCTAGTCTCACAAAGAGAAATGACAGAAAATGGAGCAAACATGATTTTTGAAGAGAAAATGGCCAAGATTTGTCCAAAATGCCAAAAAACATCAGTCCAAAGATTCAAGAAGCTTTATATAATAAAAAGCAGGATAAATTTAAAAAAACACATCTTGAAACATCAAATTGATAAACCCAAAGACCAAAAATCAAATGTCTTAAAAGCTACAATTAGCTGACTTAAAAAAAAAAAAAGGAAAGATATCTTCAAAATCTTCAAGGTAGTAAAAGAAAATAACTCCCAAACAAGACTCCTATACTCAGTGAAAATATCCTTCAAGAACGCAATTAAGGACAATTTCAGACAATAGGATGACCCTACTAAAAGAAGAGTGTTTTTTAGAAGAAAAAAATTATCTCAGATGAAAGTCCTGAGACACAGGGGAAAATGGGGAGCCTGCTATGGGTGAATATGTGGGTGGATCCAAATGCCTATTGATTGCATATATTGTCAATATTTCCATCTATTAACATATATGACAATAACAGCAAGTAAGCAGGAAGAGATGGAATTCAAGTTTGCTTGCCACAGCCTCACATTACTTGGAAGTAGAACTATAGATTATATTAGATGCTAACAAGTATGGAATGCATACAGTAATCTATAGGACCAACCACGGACCAACAGTAAAAGATATTTTTGAGCCAGCCAGTGGGGGAGGAGATAAAATTCTTTAAAACCAACCCAAAAGAAAGCATGAAGAGAGAAAAAGTGACATAGAACAAACAAAAAAATTGAAAAGCAAATAAGGTTATGAACGTTAGCCTGAATATATCAATAATTCCAGCAAATGGACTAAAAGCACTAACTAAAAACAAAAAATTGATAAAACTGAATAAAAAGACAAAACCCAATTGTGTTTTGTTTACAAGAGGTAAGAGAAGCGTGTTAAATGTAAGGACAGAGGCAGCTGAAGAAGAGAGTGGTGGGGCAATCTACACCATGCCACATGGGTCAGAGGAAGCTGGCGGGGCACCGTTTCCAGGGGCACAGTGATGGAGGCGCCAGGCAGTCCTAGTGACAAGAGGGACACTGCCTGTGACAAAAGGCTCAGGTCGCCCAGAGGTAGGAGGGCTTCTGTTGGAGGTGTTATCTGCGTCTGTGTCTGGACTGGACCCTGGAAGCACAGGGCTGTGGGTTGGGTCGCAGTGCTGATCGACGTTAAGTTTCCCGAATTTGGTAACTGTCCTGTCAGTATGTATGAGAGTGTCTTTCCGAGGAATTATTATACAAATGAAGATCTGACGGGAGACGGACAGACCATTTCATGGACTCAGAGACTCGGTGCTGTGAATCATCAGTCCTGCCCCACGGAGTATGGGCTCCATTGTGGTCTCTGCTTCTGCAGAACCATCTTCATGCCTTCAGACTTCACCACTCCTGACCAAGGAAACACCCTGTAACTACCAACGCCCTGATGTCGGTTCACTGCAAAGCACTTGTTACGTGCTGTCCTCAACAACCCTGAGAACAGACCTCCACACAGAAGCCTCTGCTGGAGACACATCACATCCGTCTGTCCTCCACCTCTGAACCTGCTCTACCAAGGACTGCTTTCTGATCAATCCCTTCTGAACTCTCGTCGGAACACGCAATCCCGTCGTTCCTGTTCAGCTGGCCGTAATACGGCCTTAAGGTCCAGTCGCTGAGAGGGCCCCGAGTTCCGCAGAGCCACTCAGATGCATGGTATGGGGTCTCATCTGGACGTATCTGGGTGTCACCCATCGTGGTCCTCTCTGGGCTGAAGGCCAGACTTACACGGCACCCGGGAAAACCACACTGCGCCCGGGTCACGAGGCATCAGACCCCGACATGGCGTGCCAGGCTCCACGATGTCGGACAGGCTCCCAGCTCCATTTCCTGTGCAGCCAGCACAGTGAGAGAGACACAGGCACACAAACAGACAGACAGACAGACAGACAGACAGACAGACACACACACACACACATACACACACACACACAACTTACTTCCTTCTGGGTTTGGTGCAGAGAGAATGATGCTGTGGTTTTTCTTTACTTCTTCAACATACTGAGCTATTTTAGCTACACCATTTCTAATCTCCTCAACCTAGGAAAGAGAGGAAAAGTCGTCACCAATTGTGGCCAATCTACTTGACTACCACTTTTTGTTTCCTAGAAAGGGGAGGATAAAGGAAATAGGTGACTAATTACCACATGAAGAAATGAAAGCCTTTTCCCATTTCACATTAGTACTCATTTATTTTAAAAAATAAAGAAAAAGTACCACATTATCTACCTTTATGAGTACAGCAGTGTCCATCAGCAAAACCTGTGAGGCTGTAAAAATCTTTATACTCAAGACCGACGTATTACCCACTGGAAGGGTACAGCTGGCAATGCCAGGACTCACGCAGTACTTGCGCAGTACTCGCACACTAGGCAGTAAACTCACATTGCAGGATATCCTGACAGTCATATTCTCATCTGGGAGGTGTTCACACGTGAGAAGGCCAAGCCTTCAAAGCCATTCTTTCTCCCTCTAATGCTCTAACCTGCACAGTACTCGTTTCGCAATGCAGTGTCCTCATTAGCAAGACCTATCTAGATGACTCACAACATTATCTTCATAAACCCTGTGGTAGGCTGAATAATGTCCCCCCAAAATGCCCAGGTCCCCAGTCTCTGGAACGCTGAAGGTTACCCTAGCTGGCAAAAGAAACTCTGCAGATGCTGCTAAACAATGGCTCCTGAGTGGGGAGGTTATCCTGGTTCTCCAGGGGCCCTCAGCACAATCACAAGTGCACGTATGAGAGAGCCGGCAGCGTGACCTCCAAGGGCTCTGCCGAGGGGGCAGGCGTCCAGCCGAGGGGGAACCTCGGCTTCATCCCCGGAAACCATTTTGGACTCCTAGCACCCAGAACTGGAAGAACAGCTGTGCCACTTGGAGCCACCAAGTTTGTGGGGAGTGGCTGCCGCAGTGCTAGGAATGAGTACAACCTCTGTATTTAAATGACCAGGAAAACCCCAGAGCTCATCCACAGAGAACCGGGCGGTTAGAGACTGCCTCGCAAGGGGACATCACGCAGCTGTGACAAAAGAGATGAAAAGGTCTCCAGGGTGAAGTTCAAAAAAGGGGAAAGCCCACAGGTACAGACCGATGTCTAGAGCATGTCAGCAGTGATGTAGGACGGAGGTCAAGGTTCGCACAGATACTAACATTTACAGTAAGAAACGCCAGCCGTCTAAACAAGAAACTAGAAAAGAGCAGATGAAAACAGGAGTGGAGCATTCTGTGTCTTTTCACATCGTTTTGACATTTTTTTAATGGGAACATACACCCTACTCAAGAAATAAGACAAAAGTGTTAGGGACCTGTGTGCTGGAGCAGCAGCTCGCCAATTTGGGGGTCCCAGGACCTCTTTAGTTCTCGGAAGTTACTGAAGACCCCAAAGAGCTTTGCTTCATGCAGGTTACCGCTCTCTGTAATTACCATATTGGAGAAATCACTTCAATCTGTATTAATTCACTTAAAATCGTCATTACAGACCCCTTACACACTGTACCAGATGTCCACACGCTGCCCCTGGGACCTGTGACTGTCACCTTCCAGAGCAAAAGGGACTCTGCAGATGTGGTGAGATGGAGTCGAGCTGGGAAATTACCCTGTGATGTCTGGGTTGCTCCGTGTGCCCACGAAAGTATTTATAGTATGGAGGCAGGGGGACCCGGTTCGGAAACAGGAGGGGTGAGGCTAGGAGCAGAGGCTGGAGCCCCGTGCTTTCCGATGGAGGACGGCCACCAGCAGAGGATGCAGGGCCTCTGGAAGCTGGGAGGCAGGACAGATGCCGCCTGGGAGCCTCCATGGGGACAGCACGGCCCTCAGACTTCCGATGCCCGGGACTGCTCCCAATAAGCGTGTCTGTGTAACGTGCTACAGTGGCAGCAGGAACTAACATGTTAACACAAATAATCTTTCTATGGAAAAAACAGTATTTTCCCAAAACGTCAGTGAAAAAAAGAGCAGTGATGTACACTTTTTCTGCAGTTTTAATTTCTGGCTTAATGGAAGGCTGCCTGACTCTGGTATCTGCTTCTGTGACCTAGCAAGCTGTGATGTCACACACGTCACAGAGCCTCTGGAAAGCGCCACACGGAACATTCACGGGAGAATGAGTGGACAGGCCACGCATCTCAGTGCTACTGTGAAAACAGCTCTGACCTTGTGAACTCCTTGAAACGGTCTTAGGGACAGACCCCAGGGGCCCTGGTCCAAGCCTGAGGCCACATTTTGAAAATCGAAGCATCCGAGGACAGCCGAGCACAGAATTCTGCCTTCACAGAACAGCGAGCAGCTGTCTCATCAGGCCTGGGCTTGCTACTTCCATTTATACACAATTTCTACCCTTCTCATACTTATTTAATTTTGTGAATCATGTAACACATAGAATAAAACAACACATAAAATAAAAACTGATTCTTTTTAAATTTTTGCTGTTTTATCAGGAAGGCTTAAACACAGTGATGCTATTTTGGTTTCAGTGCACAGATCTAAATTTCAATCAGCCGTCTTTGAAGTACCGTCTCTGAAGGACCGTCACTGCTACACATAGGTCCGGAGTGGGAAGGATATTGTCTGAACTCTGGGAGCTCTGCACCCCACCCACACCTCTGTGGGAGGGGCCCCAGCGTGGCCCCTGAGAAAAGGAAACGGTCAGCTCCCGACTCTGGGAGGGCACGGTGGGGTCTGTGAGCGACGCCACACAAGGTCCTTTCTGTCCACCACAAGTCACCCTCACAGAAAGGGGCCCCAGGCACCGTCACAGCGCTGTTTTAGTCTTCAGCCAAACGCTGGGTGTGCGCAAAACTCCTGCCTTCTGCAACGTTCTACGGCATATTTAAGATCTGAATGCCTTTCTCTAAAACTGAGTTTGTATTAACAAACATCATTTGCTTCTCTATTTGTCTAAGAAGTAATTTCACAGAAAACAACTGTGAAGTAGCTCAACAGTTTAACAGATGAAAACTTGAACGTTAGACTCTGTCGCTCTCAAACTCCCTCACGCGAGTAGCCTGTTTTTGTATGCGTCTCGGAGACGTCCGCTGCCGAAATGGATTAGCACTAGGTGACCAAGAGGACAGCATCACGACATTCAGTGATCTATTCATATAATTCTTCAGTCCAATATAACAACGACATTTCATGCTAGGAGAGTCTTTAAAATAAGGAATGTTTCCATGCAGAGCTGCTGTGGAAGAGCTAAGCGCCCAGGTACAGGGGCTGGAATCAGAGAACAATGACTCACGAAGTAGGCAGGGGGCTAAAGACAATACAGAGGCTCTCACTTCCAAAGTGACATCGGGAAATCTGGTGTCCTAACTCCTTTGGACCTTAAAGTCCGTTCCTGTCTCTCACAATGTAAGCTCATGGTTTTTCCATTAGATAAAATTAGGAACTCACATAACTACTAGAAACTCAATGATTGGGCTTACACTAGGTAACCAGTAAGTTCCGGCTGAATCTGGAAGGCTGGTACCTTAATTTATTAACATATTACATATTCTCACGCCTGCACTGATGGACTAGTTTAGACTGTCAATGGGTTGAAGGCAACTGAAACTAATCCAGCATAATCAAAACAAATCCTGCAAATGAAGGTTTCATCATTAAAAAATTATCCTGAACACGTTTCTTTTCTTCATACTTAACAAGTCAAAATACTTGTTCTGAAACTCAGTTTCAAAAACTGAAATTGTGCAAAATTTGATCACTTACTTAGGGTTAAGAATTTAAATGCGGTGTAAGGCTAGAAGCAGCCTTGGGGACTAGGGGTGGGGGGGCACCGAATGAAGCCCGAGGGAAGGACCAGGGTACGAGGTGAGACCCCAGGGATGCAGTCAGAGGTGGTGGCCCATGTGGACACCTCAGAGGACAAGGCTGAGCCCGGGCAGTGTCCATGAGGACCTGTCGCTTGTGTAGGAGACCTCTCAGGAGAGCGCCCCAGGACCTCCGCCTGATGTCGGACATGTGGAATTTAACATGCAATCCGAGACTCAGAAAAAAGACAACATGAGCTCTTCAATGCGTGCGGTCAGTATTCAGAGACTCACCCGTCCGTGGGAGAAAAGCCCGACTCGGTGCACTCCCCGGACGCCCACTCGGACGGAACAGGGTCCTTGCTCTGGACACCACCATGGGCTTTGGGGTGAGACCTTCTTAAGAACCTACCAAAGGGTGTGGCAGGCCAGCGTGGTGACGGGCACTCAGGAGGATGTGCTATCTGCTGGCACCCAGTTCCTGTGAGCCGGGCAGACCCGAGCCAAGCGGGACCCACAGTGACACAAACCTCCTCACTGGGTGAGACTCACTGGGCCCTGCCCACCACATCCAGGCCTTCCTTCCCATCCAGACCCGCCCCACGTCTGTCACCACGAAGAAGGGCTCAACATTAACGAATCTTTTCATAACACTCAACATTCTGGAGATCTTCCATCACTCGAACATCAACGTTTAAAAATACTAGCTTGAGTGCTATTTCAAGTCTGGCAAATGCAGTTATATTAACATAACTATGTTTAAAGACAAAAACCCGACTGGGTTTCGTTCAATGACTCTTACCTACCTGATGGAAGAAATCATCCATAAAGTGGTCCTTTTCAACAACAACAGTTGTGTCCCCGTCATCATTTTTCCTGCACTACAATAGAACATACAAAACGGAAAATTCAGGTTTAAAATTTTTTCATGTAGGCGCAAACATTGAGTTAAAAGACAAAAGCAATTCCGTTCCCACAAGACCTTAGCTCACTAGAGCACCAAACTGTAACAAACCGAGTGCTTCTGACACAATTCAACAGGGCAGGTCACATGGCAGGTGGGGACAGCAAGGCCCTGGAGAGGGCAACAGCTGGGTTTCTCAGCACGAGCCACGAAGCCTCCCTCGTTTTCCCTGAGTCATTGTCACACAAGTTGGTTTTACCTTCAAGAAGTGAAACTGCTTGTGCTGTACATTTTCTAGAAAGATTTAAAACGCTGACACTACTAGTTCACTTTTCTAGGGTACATAATCATTTTCAAGGAACTCTCACAAATTATTAGCTGGTGTTCATCCTTCTTCCCTGAATGACTCCCAGTCACGCCCACGCTAATCATCAATAAGCACTTTAACCGCAGAGGATTCAGTCAAGGAGACCTTAGTGAATAAAACTGAGGATGAAAGCTACCATGATGACTGCTGGGAAGAGCCAGACTGGTTACTGTATTTCAGAAACCGCGTACTTACTGCAAGTTTAACCCTCGGTGGGGCACAACTGATCTCAGATTCATTCCATGCAAATTTTCAAATATCTAACAGTTAAGTACCGTGACTCATTGCTTTCGTATCTTCTCCCTCTACCGTAACCTATCGCCAGTCGTGTCTGTGACTTAGTAAAGATGTATTTCATGGCAGCATCTTTGTGTGCAATGAATCTGTGAGATCAGTTGCGCCTGACGGAGGGTTAAAGTCATGCCAAAGAATAAAGAATTAGGATATATTCTAAGCCAGTGGCTCTCACACTTGAGTTGCATCAGGATCACCCGGAAAGCTGGGTCTCTGACTCAGCAGGTCTGGGCTGGGGTGTTCTATGCATTATTGAACATTCTAGAATGTTGCTGGATTCTAACAAGTTCCAGGTAAGGCTGCTGGTCCAGGGAGCGCCCTTCTAGGCAGGCAACAGAACCTAACAGCAACAAGTCCCTGTTGGCAAGAAAACAGTGAGGAGAAGGGACAACCACACCAGACCCTGGACCCGGTGTCTGAATGCGCAGTTCTTAGCCAGGACATGTGCTGGGCGGCCATGAGGGGGACGGGTGGCAGTGCACAGGCAAGAGAAAAGAAACCCTGCCGGAAAGTACAGTGAAGGGAACTGCTGCCAATGTCCCCCTGAGGACGCGCCAGATCAGTGCCAACCTGGTGACTTCAGGTTCCCCTCACCGTATGAAATCCGAGTCTTGGCCCATTGAAAGACTGAAGTATAGCTTATTGCTCTCAGCCCAGTAATACTTTGGAAGCAAAACTCTACTACAATTGAGCTAAGAAAAATCTGCCAGATTTAACAAACCTGTGAAGCCAGCACAGTAAACCCTCCCTCAGCAGCTCCTGGGGCCCTCACCGAGGCAAAGTGATGAGACCTAAAAACCAGCACCATCTGTCACCACCCTAACGGAGTCTTTTCGTGTCACCTGGGGCCTCTGGGGCACAGATAAGACAACTCAGGGTAAAGGCAAAGAGACATGTGTCTCTAAGATAGAGAGGGCCAGGCTCGCTTATCTAAGCATCCATGAGAAGACTGCAAAGAACTGTATGACCAGGCTCATCCAACACGCCTGAATAGCAGAGCTCCTTCCAGGAAGCAGCAGGAAGGGGCCGCACAGGTGACTAGACGTCCCTCAGTGGAGGCAGCTGGCTGGGCTCGGCGCAGACACAAGGCTGTGCACCCAGACTGCCATTCCCACCACTGCCGGGCTCCGCAGTTTCCCAGTCATGCCCTGAGGACACTGAGCCCCACCCTGCTCCCACATGACCCTGCTGCCAAGAAAGATGCCTGCAGCTGAGCTGTGCTGCTGAGAGTGTTTCGTTTGTGCTCTGCTAACAGGACATGCACTGTGGGCTGGCGTGTGTCCCCAGAAAGCAGACACTGAGGGCCTCAGACGGGAACGGTGTTTGGAAAAGGAGTCTGTGCAGCATAACTATTTAGGATGAGGCCGTGCTGGGGGAGGGTGGGCCCTTGACCCCACCTGGCTCGTGTCCTCATGAAGAGACAGGGACACACAGGGCGGACAGTGCGTGCCAAGAGGCGGAGATAGCCCAGGTGCCACGAAGCGTGTGGATGGCCAGCACTCAAAGCCAGAAGACGCCAGGAGGGTCTGTCCCCACCCGTGTCAGACCTCTGCCCCCCCGAACTGTGAGCACACGTTTCTGTTGTGTTAAGCTGCTGGCTGGTGGCACTCTGCTGCGACCGTGCATTAGGACACGACACACGGAGTGAGGACAGAAGCCTGCGCACCGTCCTTTCCTCTAACTGGCTGTGCCAGCCAGTCAGTCACGCTTCTCCTCTGCATGGGCGGCGGCCCACCTGCATCCAGGGCTCACCTGCCCCCACCGCCTCCTCTGCACCCCCGGCTCCTGGCCTATGAAGCGGCTGTAAAGACAACCCCTCTGTGTGTTTCGTCAGGGAGGGCACAACCTAAGAGGACCACTGCCAGCCCATGCTGCTCCTCCGAAGCCAAGCCGCACGTGAAGGCCAGCTGCGCTCAGCCAACGCACCCCCCCAGGCCCAGTCCCTGAGGCCTGGGCGCCACCTCCAAGGCCCGTGACAGCCACCGCCCAGGGCATGCGTCATCCTCACATGTCACACAGCGGAACACCCCGAATGGCAGAGGACTGTGCCCAAGTCTCAGCTAAGTCGCGGCAAAGCGGCATTTGAATCCAGGTCTGTCTGACGGCACACACTCCCATCCTAACCTCTTCTCCTGCTCCCAATCACAGGTGACCGGAAGGACTTGCCATTCACGGGCCCACTCTGTGGGCCCCACCGGCCCGGAGGAGCTGGAGGCACCACGGAGGTTGCTGAGCCCAGACAGCCTTGCCAGCTGACGGCCAATGCCCGTGCCCTGGACTCGGACAGCCCGCCTCCTCCCAGAGGAAGGAGGCTCACTGCAGCCCCTGCACCTGCCTCCCGAAGAGGCTCCCCTCCCACCAGGCTCCCCTCCCACATTGGCTCAGAGACAGTGCCCTGGCTGCCCGGGCACAAGAGCCCACACCACACCCCTCGCCCTGACTATGTCCCTCGGGCAGGTCCCACCGGAGACACTGTACCACTCATTGCTGAGCTGTCTCATGTCCACTCACGGACTTCGTCTTTTTTTTTCACAACTCGTGCATCACGCCTAAAACTGTGCCGGGCAGACCCCGGCATCAGTAAAGATCGCTGAGCGAATGGATGGAGAGAGATGAGGGGTGGGGAGGAGGCAGCACACAGGCGAGGAGAGGCGCACAGCGGGGACAGGCGGGGTGACGTGGACAGCGGCACTGAGACCCCCACCGGCCTCTTCACACAGCTCCCACCTCTGCTTTAGCTCATTTCTGTCTTTTGCAGCTGAAAGCCTTGAAGACAACAGACTCTACTGTCATCTACCTTTTTCTTCCAGGGACATTTTCAAATGGAAATGCACCAATATACACCCAGCAGGTTCTCTGTGCAGAATAATGAGGCTTCAGGGCAAAACTGACTGCACAGGCCGCCCTAGGAAGGGTGGAGGGTCTGGGGAGGGTGCAGGAATAGGACAGGATGGCATCTGTGCTCGGAGACAGGCAGATGGCCACCTCTGGGGACATCGGAGGGGAAAAGGGCAGGAAGACTTACTGGCGGTGGAGCCTGAATTGAAACCAAAAGAAGTTGTGAAGCAGGCAGAGAAAGGGGGAGAGAGGTGTCTGGTGGTTTGCGACACAGGGAGCAGCATGTGCCAAGGCACGGGACAGGGAGGGCACGTCAGGACCAGCCAACAGTGCGACTGGACCAGGCGATGGTGGGGAGTGAGTGTGCTAAAGAGGAAATGCTTTTAATGAACTGGTTCTTGTTCAGGCTTTCTATTCCTTAAATTCAGAACAGACTTGAAGCTAAAAACAAGAAGTACTTATTCATGTAAATATAGAGGTTCTGCTATCTTAAAAAAGGGGACACATTATGTGTGCATATGGATATACTGATTCCAGTTAAGGGTAGAGAAAGTACGGGTTCCAGCTGTGGGAGTTGTCTGTGTGATGATAAAATATAAAAAGCTGGCACGACTGAATCAACTACGAAATTCTAAACTATAAGGATATGCAAATATAAAATCATAAATGTTATAAAATTCTTAGTATTTTAAGTTTCAGTGAAGAATTTAGAAAAAAAGATGTTTTAGGTTATAAATTGGAACCTGAATCTTTACTACATAACACTGCTCCACACATATGATCTGAACTGTCAAAAAGCAGCTGTAAAAATACCTGAGCTGTTTCTCCTGCCCTTTAAGAAATTGTATTTGCAATTCATCACCTTGAACCTGGGGATTAAAATGATTATCATCTCGTACATTTCTCTAGATCGGCTAATGCATACCACACATGGCTACCTGTGTTTGTGTTTATTATCCCACAAACAGCTCCCACAGTTGAACTCTGTCATTTCTCTATTCCTATCTACAACAGATATATCCATTTGCACACGCAAACATTAAAAAAAAAGGTAATCAAGATATATTGCAATATTTGCAGCCATTATCTTGCAGAACATCTGTTGCGCTTTGATTTACTTGCGTCCTACACGGCATTCATCATGCCTCCTTTGCCCCCACCCCACCTCGGACCACGTCCACCCACTGCACACACCCACTTCATCTGTGCGTGTCTGCACCTGCGCGTTACCTCGCAGAAACCCGGCATGCAAGACTCTCTGTAAATCAGAAACATGTCTAGATGCAGAGCCCGGGAGATCCTGGCGAGTCACTTAAAGTCTCTGCACCCACGTGAACCGGTTGCTCAAAAAGAGGGTCGCTGGTTAGAAGCGACCCAATCTATGTGTTTGTCACATATACTTGTGCTGGACAAACTAATTTTTAAGTCCTTTCCAAACAGCTATCAGTGATAATCTTTTTTCTCAGGAGGAAGCATGAACAGCTGATAAGGGAAACTTTTTGGAGACATCGCAAATATTTTGTCAGTGTGGACACTGCTGATGAGACAGTTTAACTAAAATTAAATGTTAAACTTTAGGAAAAAGCACCAGCCATTT